GCAACCGGAACCCAGCATGACGGCACATGGTATGGAATACCCTGTTCTGTTTGGCCAGGTTGGGTCAGTCCGCCTGGCTGTGTCCCTTCCTGGATTCTGGTGGAAATTAACCCTGTCCTGGCCGAAACCAGGACGTGTTTCTTGCCAGCTACCAATTAGAAGAAAACACAAGTGATCTCAGGTGATACTTGAAAATCGATTATGGAGTAGGAAAGATATTTTGTCTATAGGAATGGTTAATGGCAAAGTTTTAGTAAAGCAGTAATGAAGTCTGAAAAAGACAAGTCAGGGAATGAAAATGCAGAAGTGTATGGGTCAGAAATACAGCAGGTAGCAAAGCTTTATAGCATTGATAACTGTAAATGTAACAAATGTAACATGTAGGGGATGTTATCACTTCAGGTGATCAGAAACAAGTCTTGGTACTTTGTGAATAATTCAGACGGTTGCAAGACAAGGGACTCCTGAATAATCCCTTTAGGCGCCTGGGCCTTGGGAGAACAGGTATGCAAACTACAGAGATAAGGAGGCTGCAGGATAATCTGAAGACCCCTGCCGAGAGAGACGCCAAACAAACATGTGCGATGGACATTACCATATATTAATGAATTCTTGGAAAAGCCATTACTATGATAAACATTTCTTGGAAATGTAATGAATATGTATGTTAACATAGCATAAATACCTAGTAACTGTGTCTCTTCGGTGCACACTTTTGGAGGAGAGATCCCCCGTGTGCCCGGCGCCGCAATAAAGAATACCTGCTTAATAGTCTGCCGACTATTGAGTCTTCAACTCTGGCTTTTCACGGCATCAGTAGTATACAAAATAGTAAGAAAAAACCCAAACGCTAAGCCAAGAAGTATGCCAGTGGAAATGCATTTAACAAAATTTAACAAAGTACAGCATGAAAAACTACATTTTTTAGCTTTTAGCGTGTCTCTTTGGCTTTCTGTCTGCTGGCTTCTTTTCTTCTGTTCCCGACTCCTGGACAGGCAGCCACTTCAGAGGATTGCGGCGGTACATAGGCCATGGAGGGAGCGTTAGCTTAGAGAGAAGGAAGGAAGTCAGAACATGTAAATCAAGGTGCTACATAAGTGTTTTTTACAGCTTATTAGGAAAATCTCATTCTCTAACTATCATACCAGTTAGCCTTAAGAAAGTTCATACAGTGTCATACTATAGATATATTGCCTACATTGTGGACTGCATAGTCAGGCTTAAGTAAAAATGACTAAAGGATCCCAGCTCATTATGAGGAGGACAACAGCACCCACCCTGAAGAAGAAAAGGCTACCCCCGGACTACCAAGATAACACCAGCTAACGCCTCTGTGAAACTCTCCCATTATCTGGCATCGTAGATAAGGAACTGTAGCAAGACCGACTACAGGGACATTTAGAACAAGGACACCGTGGGTGATGATGCCATAAAATTACAGTGGATTTCAAAACAGTAGTGTGTGTGTTAAGTAGCGATTGGCCAAACCATGTTGTAGCTGAACTTGAAAGCTGTAAGAACCCTGTGTAAAACCGTGTTTGGTGTGCCCCAGCTGGAACGGGACACCTTGTGTGCACGAATAAGGAATTACTTCTGTAATTCTCTACTTTGCATCCTGGCCTCTCTCCCCAGTTAGCATGGGCCAGGTGCAAAATTTTTGTGACAAACTGCTGCTTCACAGAAAGCCTTACTGTCCATTCTGTTATTAGCTTGACTTCAAATAACATTTAATTGAAATTAAAAACTAGTGCAGAAGCAGTATTAAATTGCAGTGTTCTCCAATGTCCCTGCTCATGGCAGGGGCGTTGGAACCAGATGATCTTTAAGGTCCCTTCCAACCCAAACCATTCTATGATTCTATTCTATGATTCTGTAAAATCTTTGAGAAAAGGCACTTACTGGCTTGTAAGGCACTTTCTACAGGACAAAGTACAGATAGGTATTAACAAACTGTATTGCATAGCAAGTATTTATCTGTGCTGCCAGCCCCTTAATTTAAGGATTACTTCAGGTGAAATAGCACATGTATGTTCTGATTTGGGGAAAAAAAATCCTTACCAAACACGATAAAGCAAACCCAGCCATAACTATGTAGACAGTCCAGCCGAACTGTTCAGTGATGTATCCATAGATAAAGCCAATTATCTGCAAAAAAAAGAAGCAGCTAAACAAATATTTCTCAGGCTGTAATTAAGTTGGGGGCGGGAGGAGAAGTAGAAAAAGACAGGTTTTTCAAAAGCACAGTTCTTTCTAACCTCGTTTTCAAAGTTGTAGGCCAACAATGAAAGTAAAAGTTTGAAAGAACAAAAGTCTTACTCCACAGCAGCCCCTCTGATTTTGTCTAAAGCTTTTGGTGATGCAGTTAAGCCAAACAATGAGGAAAAAACGCCTTGTTTGTAAGATCAGAAAATAGTCCTTTACGTTATCGCCCATAGTTCTAGTATACTTACTGCAGAGACAAGAATGATTCCTTGAAAAATCTGTTCTGCTAATTTTTGGCCCTTGTAGTCCTGTGGAAAGAGGTATTTTTTTGTCAGTTACCCAAAACACAAACCTTGCCAGTTAAAGTCTTTCAGGTTAGAGCCTGGAGTCAGCCTGACCACAGGTTCTCAGCTTTTTTATTCAACTTTCAAACAAGACTAGAATGATTTTTCTTGCCATGTCTGGATTGCAAGTGTCAAAGCATTAAGCTCTGAATTCACACCTCCCCTGCAGGCTTGACCACATCTAAAAATAAAAGCAAGTGCTGTCCGTCCAGGGTAAGCCATGGAAGTTCCAAACACCCTTGCAGTTAGATTAATATCACTAAGTGAAAGCCTGGCCACCGCAACAGAGAGAACGGGGGGGGGGGGGGGGGGGGGGGGCGGGCCCCCCGCGGC